AATTCTGGTAGTGGAAGTGTTAAAGCTAATCAATTTTGTATATTGGATGTAATAATTAATTAATAATATAGTGTGCAGATATCACTGTAAATATTGAAGGTAAAGATGTACAGATCTCATTTTTCAGTATACAAAATGTAACATCTAGAAATCAGGGTTATTGTAAATTAAAGGAAGATTTACGAATAAGTAAATTTTTTAGTTTGATGCAGATAATAAATAAATTCCAATCATTATAGCAGGAGGAGATGGTTCAATGATGTGGGTGATTGAGTAAATGATATCTTAAAACATTGACATTAATTAAATAGTTATAATTCCATTACCTTGTGGAACAGGAAATGATTTCTCAAATGCATTAGGTAATAATATAATTGTATTTAATATAAAGGATGGGATACAGATATACCTGGAAATATGTTAGAAAATGACTATAAAATATTAAAATAATATATAAGATATTGGTAGAGAGGACATTAATGTTTTTTTGATATTTGGGATATTACAATATAAACATAATAAGATGGATATTTTTAGGAGATAAAGAAGAATGAAAAAGGATATATTAAATAAAGTGTAAAAGATTTAGATGGAATGAATACAAATAGTTTAGAAAAGAAAATGTCTAATTATTTTAGTATAGGTGTTGATGCAAGAATAGGATATGGATTTGATAAAAATAGAACAACTAATAGACATATAAATAAAATTTGTTATTGTTTATAAGGAATACAAAAGATGTTCTTAAAAAATCCAAGAGTAAATTAAGTTGTATAATTTGTTGAACATTTTGTATCTATTTTGAACCTTATTTATATTAGAATCATAAAGAGTAAAAGACACTATTTAAAACTGTTAATTGTTAAGATAAAAATGCTTTAACTATTCCTGGAAATCCTGCCACATTAGTATGTTTGAATATCAATTCATATGCTGCTGGTATTACAGATATTTGGAAGAATGCAAAAACTCCATAAGAATTTCTATAAAAAAATAAATTATATTCTGAAAAAACATCATTTTCTGATGGATTATTAGAATTTATATCCTTTGATTCTATTGTAGGTATTGGATCTGAAAGGTTAATATTAATTAATATTAAAATAGAGTATTATCAGGGAATGCCACAAGATTAGCTTAAACTAATGGACCATTATATATTAAATTTTAAGAACCAAATGATAATACTACTGTAAATAGTTATATTCAAATTGATGGATAATTTTTTTGTGTTGTTAATCCTTTAAGTGTAGAAATTTAACCCTGTAGATTATTACCTCAAGGAAAAATTAAAATTTTAATGAAGAATTGAAGATTTTAAACAAAAATAATTTTTAATCACAATTTTGAACAATTAAGTCATGATTTACTAAATGGACTCACAAGATAAGATCGTTATTTTATATTGAAAGAGTTTCCTGCTTTTGTAGATTCTCTATCTCTTGAAGATTAATGTTAGCATTTCACTTTACTAAAGTCTAAGTGAATACTAGGTTAATGACTATGTGAAGTCTTAGAAACTTTCCTCATTTAACTAAATCTTAGATTTTCTCTTTTTTATAACATTTTTTATAAATTTTCTGTTGTTATTTCTTTATCCTACATTTCCTATTAATACTCTAAAACTTCATGTGCATATTAATTAAGACAATTATCAAAATGATCATCAAAACTTGAAGGAGAAGAAAAGTGCTTCTTCAATTTTATTGATTATGTACTTTAAGGAATTTAAGGAATTTCAGGTATTTCAAACATCTTTTACATCTAGTTCTTACTTGAATAATTAAATAAATATTTTGTTCTATTAAAGTCTTCTGCAAATGCAATAGCTTTTTATGAAACAGTTAGTTTATGTTCATTCTTTCTCAAATTCATGGAGAAATCATTAGTTTGTTCAATTATTTTTAACATCTATTCACTTTATTCTTCTATATTATCATAGATATGAACATCATGTTGTAATTCTTTATGATTAACACTTTAATTCTCTTTCTTTTGTTTATATAATTCACTCAATAATTTCTCTTTTACTTTACAATCATCAGTTCTAAGTTAATTAAATACATGTAGTTTATTAAATATTCCATTACCTTTTAATTTTTTATTTTAATTGAATTCATTATATAATTCTATATATTTCATTCCTTTTGTTTTAAGATATTTAATAGGTTGATTTCTATTATGAATTAAATCTAATTTAGCCATTGTAATTTTTTCTTTAAAATTAGGATCACTTCTACTAAAACTATATTTTTAATTAAGTTCTCTATAAAATTGTTAGAGATGAGCTATTTTATTTTTAAAATCATTTTTTAGTTTCATTTCATTCTTTTCAATTTCTTTCTGTATTGTATCATTATCCTAATCTAATTCTAATTAATTAATATCTGCTACAGTATCTTTGTTTTCATAAAACATTTCCATCCCAATATTCTACCATCCATGTATTCTTTTCTTAATTGATATAATTTAACAAAATTACTTCTTTATTTTCTTTAGGTTTTAAAATTCTACAATTACTAGGACCATCTTATTTAATTGTTGTATCCCATTTGCAAATTCTTCTTTAAGCAAATCTTAATGCAGAATCCTTATCACATCTCTTTATATATAATGACTATTACATGTTTAATTAAATGTAGAAATGTTGCAGCTTTGGTTGGAGAAACATAGATATCTTTTCTCTATACACCACCTAATTTTTAACAATACTTAAAATATGGTATCTTACATAGTAAATTAAATTCATACCTCTTCTTTTTAAACTTATTACATAATAAATAAATTATAATAAAATTGAAATAAGAATTTATTTTATAATTACTTAATAAATTTCATACTTTTAGTTTGTCTAGCTTATTCTATTCCTAAATTGTTGAAACATATTATAATCTAATTAATAAATCTATTATTCTAATTTATAATACTGTATAGATCTATCAAATGTAATATGAATTAGATGAAATATAATTATTTATTTTTACTAATTGTATTTAATTTCTATTATCAAAATATTTTACATATGTTTATCTAATATTCAATAGAATTATTATAAATCAATAAACAAAAGAAAAAAAATATTGTTAAAAAAATTAAATTTAAAAAATGAGATAGGAGGAAAGTGAATCACTTACAGAGAGTTAAGTACTCTTATTTATGAATGAGAAGATGAGAGAAGAAGGAATGCTTGATAGAATCAAATTATAAGTTAGAAAAGAGATAGTTGAAAAACTTATGTAAGAACCTAAATAGAAAAAAACAAAAAGATTATTTGATCTAAAAGTAGCTGATTGTTTTATAATCAATTTCTTATAAACATAAAACTTTCTTTGCACTGCTGAAATATTTATATAAGAATGTGGAATTGATAAAGTAGATATTTTACAAACTTAAGAATTACTTTAATTACATGGTTTAACCATAAGAGATTATGAATAACATTTATTCTAATTATAATAAGGAACCATTTCTGCATTAGAAATTATGAGAAGTGTAATAAAAAGAAAATATCATATTGAAAAAACAGATCATTCTTGTTAGACAGATGAAAGAGAAGAAACATATGAATAAAAGATGAGGAATCTTGAAACTGGATTTCTTAAGAAAATTAATTATTCAAGATTACATGATATGCAAACAATTGAGGAAAGAGTATTATTGAATATATATTATTGATTAGATGAATAATTTAAGAAAAGATGTAGAACAAAAATATTAAGCAAAATTAGAAGCTGAAATAGTACGTCTAAGAGAACATGAAATGGAAATGATAAGGTAAGAAGAGAGAATTAGATATGAGAAAATGTTGAAATAAATGAAGTCAGGAGCAGATGAAGAATATGAAGAAAAATTAAAAGAATTAAAAAAGAAAGAAGAAGATGCTTTAATTAGAATTAATGCTAAATTAAAAGCTATTGAATAGGATAAATTTGAAAAGTAATAAGAAATCTAAAGGTTGTATTTATATATATATATTATTTAGATAGTTGCATGAATTAGAATAGGAGAAAATTAAATATCATAGACACAAATGTTTAGATTCAGATGTTGTCAAATAAGAGTTGGCTGAAATGGAGGCTATAAAATTAGATCTTAGAAAGGCTATAGATGAATATAAAAAAAGCAAGGAGTCATTAGATTAGTAAAATATTAAATAAGCAGAAATGCTGAATGAATATTGGAAAGAGAAGATAGCCAAAGAGAGATAGGCAAAGAAGGAGGAAGGCATTGATGATGAAACTGATTGGGTTAAATATTAGAAGGATAACTGTTCTAGATTATAAAAGCAAAGAGAATATTTATTAAGTGAGAATGAAACTTTGAGATAAGAAATTAATGAACTTAATTACAAAATATAAGAGATTCAAAAAGAATTGGATAAATGCAGAAATGAATTAATGCAAGCAAAAGATGAGAGAGATATAGAACATAATTATTCTTTACGTTTAGAGGGTTAAATTAGAATTATCACCTAAATTAATGAAAGAAACAGTAAAATATGATATATTGTTTATATTTATATATATGATATTTACTATTTACACATTCATCCTAGTTAAGAAAATCAAATTTATAATTATTTAAATCCTTTAATTTATAAGAAAATATTATTAAAATATTAAATTAATTATTTTAAATAGCATTTTCTAAACTATATGAATTGATCGTTTATTATAATCATTTACAATCACTATTCAATAACTGGTAAAATATGAATCCTACTAGACTTCAAATAATTCAAAAACAATAGCCAAAATTAGTCTACTCAAATTATTTTTATAAATTAAATTCTATAACAGCCATTAATGTGAAATATTCATAGTAACCAAGATCAAATAGATATTTTAACATAGTACAATATATGTTGGAAAATACCCTAAGCATGAAAAAATAATAATTAACATTTTCCCTACATAAATAGATGTATATCGTCAATTTCAGCATAATGATGAATCCGAATTATTAATTATTATTTTTTATTAAAACTCAATATCTTCCTAATGCACCCATTTGCATAATATCCTCCATTCTTCTAATGTATAAAATTCATCTATAGTATTAGACTCTCAAAATATCCATCATCCTTAACCTTCACTGCAACAATTCAACCCATATCAACATTAATTATACATCAATAATTACCTCTGGTTAAATTATTAGAGAGCTTAGCAAACTCACTTATTTTTTTAAGGTTCCGCACAGTCCCCTCCAATTATCAAGCAGGAAAATGTGATCAAATAGGAACAATGCATCCTTCAATAGTCTAACTTTGAACCAGTAGAATTCATAACTAACCATGAAAATAGTAAATCTGCTCAACTCTTGAAAAAAAGTCCCATTATTTAGTCTTAAAAGAATAAGCGAAAGGGAAAAAGGTCAAACAAAAGAAAGTTATATAATATAGGCAATTTTTTTAATTTGATTCTTAGGTCATTGGACAAACAAGGAACACAACTTGTATCTAAGTTTTAAAGAAATGAATAAGGATATAATGTTAAATTCAGACCTCAAGAAATAAAACAAAATATTTAAATAAATGTCTAATTTTATAAAGACTAGGTCGCCAAGTTAATGTCGATCTCATCATTAAAAGTTTGACCCAAAAAACTCAACCTCTAACAATACTTCTAATTTTATAGAGTGCTAAAATAATGGAAATCAAGAATGACATTATATGTTATTATTACCAATCGATTTTTATATCTGAAATTAATTAAATAATTATATGAAATTATGATTATCATAAGAATGCCTTATTTTTATAAAAATTATTAGAAAATATCTATAAAATATCAACTATTTTATGAAATGATACTCTAATTTGTAGTTTTATGTATATTAATAAAATATATATATTTAAACATTTATAAAATAATTTATAATGGCAGACAGCTTTAATTCAAGTGGATAATTTTATAATTTTGTTGGAACAGCTGGAACAGCAGACTTTTTACCAGGATCAGGTTAAGAATAATAGTAATGATAATTATACTATATTTAGATTAAGTTTCGGAAGGAATTATTTGGGATATAATGATCAATAAGCAGGAAGTTTTTAAAATAATTTCCATCAATCTTAATTAATAGATTCTGAAGTTAAAAATAGTCTGGATTAATTTTTTGAAATGAAAATTGATGATGTTAGATTGGATAATTTATTAATTCAAGAGGAGTCTTAAAATCAATAAAAACTTAAATAATCCATAAATTCAGATAGGAATAGCAGATCTCAATATTCAGGAGATCAAGATTTCCGATTAGGTTGTAATGGTCCTTATTATATGTAGAATCAGCGGAATAAATTAATAGTAAATTTAAACCTGAAGTTAAAATGCTTATCCCTTAAAATTAGGGTAAGAGCATATATAGAGAAAAGATTGACTCTTTATTAGAGAAGCGAACATCTAATAATAACTCAGTATCTCCATCAATAACACCAAGATCATCTAAAAGTTAATAGAAGTTAGAAAGAAAGAGATCTTAAAATCTTTAGAATGAAACTTCAAATGAAATGACAGATCCAACTTAATTAAAATTAGCAAAAAATAGAGAATCTGCAAAGAATTCAAGAGAAAGAAAAAAAATATATTAATAATTACTCGAAAAATAGGTACAAGAATTACAATAGGAGAATGAAAAATTAAAAGATATTTGTAAAAATTAAGCCTAATCTATGGAAATAGTGAATAAAAAAACTCAAAAAGTATTTAATTGATTTATATAGTTTTAATTATTTTTAGAATAATAGTAATAAATGTTTGAGAAATTGGAATTGTGTATAATAAAAAAGGCTAATTTTGATGAAATTGGAATAATAATGGATGCATTAAGATATAGAATATAATCAAATTCATAAGAAAGAAATGATACTGCAAGAGTTTACTTCGATAGCATAGCTGAAATAATGTTACCGATGTAAGTGAAATATTTATTATATGCATGCTAAAATTCAAAAGATATGTTTGCAAATACAGATTAGTATTTTATTTTAGGTTATTCTTTATTTGTAGAGATTATAGTGAATGGTTGAAAGAAGGTTTTGAAAGCACAAATGTTTAATTTGAGAATTTCACCAAACTTAAAAAATTTTAGTCAAAGGTTTAATTATTAAAATAAAATATTTCTAAGTAATTAATTATATTAATTATTAAGTTCTTTAGATAAAATTAAGAATGAAATCAAGTCAATCTAAGATCATGCTTCTAAATTGGATTAAGTTTGGGATGCATTGAAATCTATATTAAATCCACTCTAGTTAGGCACATTAATGTGTTCCCTTTATCATGTAATAATTTATAAGTGATTATTAGAATCTCTATAGAAATGAATTATAAACAAGTACATTATTTGCGTAATTAAAAAATTCTCAAGCTGAGGAGGATGACTTTTCTTTTAAGATAGAGGAAGAAATAAATTATGGAACTAATAAAATGGTTAAAAGGTGTTGAGAATTATAAACTTATATATATATTAAATTATTATTTTGTTTCAGTGAACTTTAAGAATGGCTGATTAAAAAGTTGTTTCTGTCTTTGATTTTGGTAAAACCAGAAATAAATTTTGGTAACCATGTGATAAATCTGTCTTAGATGTACTTATGATCAATAATATTATATAAGACTTAATCTTTTTTAGTCGAATAAGAATTCTTGACAGCAGGGAAAGTTAGAGTCAAACCTATATTCATTGTGCTTGGATTAGAATATCTTTATAAAGTTACTGTTGATAAATTAAAATGTGCACCTCTTGCTACTATGCATTTAAGTTTTATTGACCCTGGAGCTGATCACATGGTTTAATTAAATTCTGATGAGTAATAATATGGATTCAAATTGACATATCAAACAAAGGTTTTGGATATCTTTCTATCTGAAAAATTGTTATATGATTAATGGAAATAGCATTTAAGGAAGGTTTGCTTATTAGAGAATTTCCATGATGCTTTTATGGTTTCAAAATTAATAGGAAAAGGAAGTTTTGCAAAAGTCTATTTAGCAACTAGAAAAGAGAATAATTAATAATATGCCATTAAAGCATTTAGCAAATCCTTTATGTAATAGCAACATAAGGGTATTGAGAGTTTATTAAATGAAATGTAAGTGATGAGAAAATTAAATCATCCAAACATAGTTAAATTGCACGAAGTTCATGAAACTACAAACTCTGTATACTTTGTAGTTGATATAGTAAGTGGAGGTGAATTACTTTAACGAGTCAGAGAAACAGGTTTTTAATTCAGTAATTATTAGGCTTTCTACCAGCTGAAACACTATAGAGATTGGCATACAATTTATTATCAGCATTGAATCATTTACATCAATACAAAATTGCACATCGAGACTTGAAACCTGAAAATTTACTATTACGCTCAAATGAAAATAATTATGATTTAATATTAGCAGATTTTGGTTTAGCAGCCTAACTGACAGATGAAAATATTTTATTTAAAAGATGCGGAACTCCAGGATTTGTGGCACCTGAAATTTTAGATTATATGGAAGGTCAATAATTTTATGATGAAAAATGTGATGTTTTTAGTGCTGGTGTAATTTTATATCTTTTGATAGTATTTTTATACTTATATAATAGACTGGAGGATAACCATTTACTGGGAAGGATTAAAAAGCAATCTTAAAAGCTAATAAAGATTGCTAAATTGATTTTGATGACTCTCTTTTCAAATCTGCACCCATTTAAATGTAGGATCTAATTAAATCCATGTTATAAAAAAAACCATCTTATAGATTGAGTTCTACTGAAGTATTGAAATTATACATTCTAGTGTTTAAGACATCCATATTTCAAAGAATTAGCCAAACAATAATAAATTAAATAGGAGAAATATTAAAACAACTTGACAGAATATAATTAATAATTCAAAAATAATGTTAGAGCAGGTTCTATAGATATGACATTAGAATAAAGATCTCCTCTATTTACTGGAAATCTTAATTCTATTGAATCAATAACATGTGTTTCAAATAATTCATTTGCAAAAATTGAAATGAAACCACCTTCTGTTGTTGGAGCTTCAAAATTTAGTTAATATAGTTCTCGTTTAAATAGATTAGGATCCAGAGATATATCTGGTAATTTTATAATTCTATATTTAGATATCCCAAATACTTAATTATAAAAAACAGAATCAAAAAAGCATATTGATTTACATAGAATTGCAATTCAAAATTCACATAGAAAATAAATCATAGATTAATTTGAAGATTAACCTGTTCATTAAGAAAATTCAGAGGTATCTGATATGGTTAGGTTATATAATTCCACAAGATAAATTCGAATTCCAGAAAATTTATCTTAAATGTCGTAAACAAATAAATAAGCATCTACTCCAACCAATAAAGCCAAAAAGAATTCTTGAATATGTTTTATATATCATATAAAATAAATATATATTATTATCAATCAATTCTATAAATACATTAATGTCTTACAAAGGTTTCTTATAATTAAAAATGATATTAACACTCTTATTATATAATTAGATATATGAAAGATTTTGCGATAAGATTATTTACATTTATTCCATATTCTATTTATGTCTATTATAATATTATTAAATCATACTAGTTTTGAATATAGATTTCAGATTGAAATTGATTATTACTTAATATTAGTATTATTTAATTTATGTCAATTTTAGGAAAATTTGCAGCAAGTCCAAAAAAAAGGAGTAACAAGTATTCCACAATATAGGTGAGTTGCCAAAAGACTATGCTGATTAAATACTTAAGAATGACATTACATTAATGATGAGTAAATATACCGACAGTATTGCATTAAATAATCTCATTTAATTATACATGGTATTTAATTGATATTATTAATAAGAAAGGAGTTGAATATTATGAAGCACAAAAAGACTAATAAAGTGAATATTTTAAAAGTAAATTAAATTGGTTAATGAGTCATCCATCAATTATATCACCAAAAAAAAAGGAAGAACAAACACTACCAAAATAATCAATAAAAAAGTTAGATTTTAAAGTACATTCAATTATTGATACTTAATAACATTATGATAACAATATTCAATAATTTGAAATTCCATAAGAAAAGTAAGAAGTCTAAAAAAATAACTTAATAACTATATAAACTAATGAAGTTAAATAGATGATTGATAACTTAAAGAAAGAAACAACTAAAATAAATGAAGTAATAAGTCAATTACACTAGATAATATAAAATGATCTAAATTCTCAAAAAAATAAAATTGCTGATAGAATACATAAAAGAAGTAAAAGCTTTGTAAATAAAAACAAATTTGAATAAGAAGAATGCATTGAATGAGTATATTAATTCTCATTTTTATTGATTCTCTTATTACACATTTATATACAATAACATACTTATAATAATTTTTATTTAAATTTAAATAAATCAATATAAATTATTATTATAATCAGAAAATTTCAGAATTCTATTAGCTTTATCAAGTACAAGTTCAAATTTATTTAATATCAGGATTTGTTTTATTCATTATTTTTATGAATTTTAATCATTCCTTTCTATTTAGAATTTGATTTCATAAACAACTACTTTAATAAATTAATAAACTTCATTTTGTCTACATAATATATATATCAATATAGTCTATATTAATATATATAAAGACAAGATATATTGATTAATTTTACAAACATATTTATTCTTAATTTGATATTATTATAAATCATTCTTTCATAATTTTATCGTCTTTTTAGCAAAACAAACTAAATGAAGAGTTTTATTATTTAATTCATCTATAACTGTATTTTCATTTAGATTTTCATCCTTTACTCCAAATGAATAAAATATGACTTTAGATTCATGATCGTATGGTCCTATATACGGATATCTTATTGAAATCTTACCATATTTATGGTTTTCTGTTATAATCTTTTAATCTTTTGGGATATTTATAGCTAACCATATAACCCTAGTATCTGAGAGAGCTATTAAGATTAAACTTTTCACTTATTTTCCTAATTTTGAGAATTCGACTCTTGGGTTTACTCCAGGGTTTTCTAACAATCCATTTTTTTAGATACTTTTATTTCTTTTACCAATTGAAACTTTAATTTTGAATTATGCTAATTAACTATACATATCTATAAATCCTATTGCTGCTCCTCCTATGATTCCTCCAATCAATGCACCACTAGCACTTCCAATTGGACCTAATGGGGATCCAAATAACGTCCCAAAATAGGTAGCTGATTAAAGTATTGTTACATTTCTGGCAGTTTTAATTATCATTTTTCCTAATTGAACAGTAGCCTTAAATGTAGATTTTAAATTCTTATATTGATCTAATGTCTCTTTTATTAAACATCCCCCTGATATTACCATAGGTACAATTGGACTATAGAAAGAAACTATCGTCAAAACTCCATTTACACCTAGTGAAACTTCATTTAGCTGACCATAATAAGCTTCAACTAAAGTTGTTCCTATCATTCCACCCACTTAACCAAATTATCCAATATGTTTCTCAATGAATTTTAATTTGTTTTTTGAAAAATTCTTAAGATTATAGTTATCATTTGCTAAATCAACTTTTATATCCTTTTAAACATCTTTAACCTTCAGGCCTTTTGTTTGTATAGATTCTCCCTAACCTTACCATTTGTCTGAATAACCAAATGATGCTGATCCATCAATTTTTTTTATGAATGTAGGGACGTTATCAGCAGATATATAGACTAAAACTTTATTCCCATCATTCAAAGTTAATTCATATCCCATTTTTTCAGTAGTTGAATATTTGACTACTTAAATTGTTTTGATTTCCTCCATTTGCAATTATCTCCAATTTTATAATTTAGTTCTAAGAGTTGGTGTCCTTAATGAAAGATTTTATAAATTATAATTAAAAAGAGAGTAATTCTATTAGTGATAGTATTAAGACCATATCTTTATTAAAACACCCTTAAAATCCTCAAGATTAAATATTTGTTGTATTATTTTTATAAATTAATTGATTAAAAGTTCTGAGACACTTTCAATAAATTCACTCAACTTTAATAAAAAATCATCTGTTATAATAAATTCAAATTTGATATCTTAGATACATACATCTAATAAATTGTACAGGTATTCTTTATGAGGTTCATAATTTTAATAAAATTATGAAAGGTATTACACTAACTTATAAAAATAGTCATCTATATTATTTTTTAATTAATATCTTACATCTCCAACTTCAGGAGGAAAATTTCTGACATTTTTAATAATGTAATTAATTCTATTTTGATAAAAAGCATTGATTATTTTCAATTTTGGTTTGAGTTCATTATTGATTCTATTTAACCAATATTATTCTCTTTTATTCTTATCTAAGGCCATTGAAAAATTATTGTCAACTTATTTAATACAAAAATATTAAATTCCATTTTCATTTCTGTAATCTACAATATGAAATTCAAATTAAGGAAATAAGATTACTTCTTCTTCATTTTGATATTCCGATTGATATTCATCAAGTTTCAAAAAGGGATGTGGATTGTTTTCACTTAATGAAATTTCAAAGATTATTTTACAATCTCCCTTTGAGAATTTTTCTGCTGTAGCAAAATCAATTGAAGCACTGGTTAAAGTGTTCCAAAACATACTTTTTTTATGTGTGTAACAATAATTTAAATCTTCTAAAGTTTAGAGATAACTTTTTCTTAACAATGATGAAAAATTGATTCCTCGATATAATTTTTTTGGAGGTTTAGTATCATGAATTTACTTTGAAAAACCATCGAATAATATACACATAATTTGTTTCATTGTTTCATAATTTGATTCTGCTAAATTCTAATTCAATTTCTTATAAAGTTCATCTCTTGTATAATAATATATTAATTTTTCAAAAATAGTAAACACAACTCCTTTTTTTTCTTCTTTTTCACGAACAGAATCTTTTAATAATTTTAATTCTTTTTCTGATGTAAGATTTAAAATTTCATTATCTAATTCACTCTCAGATAGTAAATAATTTTATTGTAATTTTTAATTAATCAATAAGAATCTAAAACTTGTTTCTTCAATCTAATGATAATAATTCATTTTTTCTTTAACTTATTTACAAAATGATAAATTCAAGGATTCTTTAGCATTTAAAAATTCAATATTTTTACTTACATAGTATTCTAGTTCTAAAATATCTGATTTAACAAGAACTAATAATTAATTGTTCTCTAAGAACTTATGTAAATGATTGTTAGAATCTTCACAGAAAACAATCTTATTACTGTCCAAATGTTCCTCTTAATTATAGATATAAGAACTAGATACAATGACAACAAATTTATCTCCATATTTTTTATTATGAATAATGTAAACAGCCTCATCAGTTGAATGAACGAAACTACAATCATTAATAATAGTTCTTAATCTTTGCTAATATGTACTGTTAAATTTTGAATCAATCCATATAAGTTATAAGTTTTGTTTCATTTTTTTATTTGTTTTTTAATTTTCTATGTTTAACATCATTTATAATAGAATTAACAATTTATCAATAAATTTTTCTCGTTAAATTATGAATTTTATTCATTTTCACTTAGATTCTATCTCCTGATAAAAACAATTTAGATAATTAATTACTTTCTTAAATTTGATTTATTAATTAATTTGTATATTTTTAATCTAAATTTCCAATTGTAATATTAATTGAAAAGTTTAATTCTAATATTCCTTGATTTATCGACATTTATTATAATATCATTAATAATCTAAAAGTAGTATTAAAATTAATTTTGAACTAATTTTTCTTGAAATTCTGAATAATTTATTTCCTTTTGTTACCCTTATCTATGTTATTTAACTGATATAATTCTTAATAAACTTATAATATTAATAAAATAAATATTAACATTTCATATTTATTTAGAATCAGTCTCTATCATACGATGAAACTAATCGAAATTGAAATTCCATGTTTCAGCTATTTTTGCAATTTCTAATATTCTTGTGTCATTAGTTGATTCTGCTGATTTGACTTGCACATTCATTGCAATATTATCCTATAGATTATATATATCATTACTATTGCATATGCTAAAAATATATCCTTTACTGTAATATTATTTACATCATCTGTGATTAGCCTAATCTTTATTGTATTAAATAGATTCTCCCACTCAGGATGATCTACTTTTAATTAAATATTACGATTGATTTATTCACTGAATATAGCCACCTAAGTCATAAATGAGAATGCTTCCTTGAAATTAGAAAACTTCACCTCCTTATATAATGAATTATCATCTTGCTAATTAAGTATTTATAGAATGAATACTAATTTCCATGTTGCTCCTAATTAATGCATCTTTAATAATGTTCTAACATCATCAATTTTCAAAGCAGTTGGTTTTTCCCCTTTGAAAATTG